TGCTGCGGCTGGGCATGCTGGTTTTTTGGATGGAGCTGGGGCAGCTCTGCTCGTTATTAACCCACTTTGCAAACCAGAGGGAGGCTCAGTGGAGCTTTGCCCTCCTCAAGGAGGGAGAGACCAGTTGAGCGCAGTGCTGGTACCGTCCTTTCTCACCCCTAAAATCACAAGGGAGCATGTTGGCGGCACCATCGCCAGTGCTGGGGCCGATTCCTCCGGATCCGCTCCCGACAGTCACTAGGAGGAGCTGAAGATCGTGCGTTGCAGCAGCCCCGGCGCTCCCATCCCTTCAGATGAGACTGCACAAGCCCTGGAGGACAGACTGCGGGGAGCCACGCCGGACTGGCCGGCCGGGACCGGGTGGGAAGGGAAGCACAAAATGTCCCTTTCATCTCGGGCTCCCGATGGGAGAAAAGCCAGCCCTCTGGCAGGTTTCCCGAGGAAGGATTTGCAGATCCTTGCTGGCAGTGCACGCGGGAAGGCCCCGCAGGCTGGTGGGGAGGCAGCAGGAGAGATAAGGACAGGATGTGTTTCGGTGGGGGAGGCTTTGCAGAGATAAGGGCACCAAAGCTGTGGGGTCAGAAACAAGACCAGATCTCGCTGCTGCCGCAGCTCTCCGAGATCTGGTTGCTCCTTCTCTCGATTGTGTCCCCAGGGTCTCTTCTGTCACTGGTCAGCCAGTAAGGCTCTGGGGAGCGTTGTCATTTCCACCGCTGTTCTCTTGGATAATTCCCAGAAAACTTTGTTCTGGGCTAAAAAAACACTGCCCGGAGCAGCACAGCTGCCTGCTGGCTGTGGTCGGAGGGACTTTTTCACTTCTTACCTAATCATCAGGGATCTGCAGTGGACAGCCACTGGTGTATGACCAACTGAACCACTGAAAACAGGAGTAGAGAAGGAAAGATGGGTCAGAGGGGGTTGTCATTACCATGGTAGGATGGAGCAGGAAATCTGCCTGTGCGGTGGTGGGTGGGGTCCTGCTCCAGTCCTGTCTGGAGAAGAACACGGGTCCAGTCTGCTACCACCCTGGCTGTAAAATGTCCAAAGGTCGTCATGTCTGAGAGGTGTCCCGGTAAAAGACTGGGTTTGTTTGCTTATGATAGGACAAAAGGGAAGGAGAAGAGGAATTTGTAGTGGAGAGGGGGGGAAAAGCTTTGTCGTCTTGTTTTTGTATTAGCTTTGGTTTTGTCTTTAAAATTTTGGGTCTGTCTTAAACTCGAAAAGCTGCTCAGCCTTGGCTTAAGCAGTGTGATGTAAGTCAGTGCAGAGATGAGGCCACAGGGAGAGGAAGAACATGGAGCTCAGCTGGCCTGTGTTTTGTGAGCAGACATGTTACCCTTGAGCGGTGTATGCTCAACTCCCTTGTAGCCACTTCTTCATCTGTAGAGCTCCATTTGGGGCCTGGGTGCAGCTGGGCTCCCCGCAGCCTCTGCTCACCTTTGTCTCCCTGTTTCTCTTGCCCCCAGGTGTCAGCAGTGCCAACCGTGCTGGCTATGAAGAACGGAGATGTCGTGGATAAGTTTGTGGGGATAAAGGATGAGGATCAGCTGGAGGCATTCCTCAAGAAACTCATCGGAGCCTGAAGTAAAAGGGTGGCTGTACCTCTGCCTCTGGACACGTCCATGTTGTGCATTCCTGGCCTGGGAGAGCTGAGGGGCACGTGAACTGCCTGCCTTGTGCAACCTGGGGTTTTCTTCTGGTTTGGGGTTTTTAGGAGATGGACAGTGTTGTAACCCTTCCCTCCCACTCCCCCTTCTCTTGAGCAGCAGTAGTTGTAAAGGGCGCTGAGGAGCGGGGCTGCTTATTCTCAAAATGGGGAATGCGGCTGGAATTAGGAGCCTGTGTTTATCAGCAAAGAGCTGACACGCAGAGCTGCTGCTGCGTTAAGAGGAGGAATGTTTTTCTCTTTGCCTAGCATCTGATAGCCCAGAGCAGAGGGCAGCTGCTCCCTGCAAGATGTGGGTACATACCTGCCTTGGGTGGGTTTGTTTAAAGCTGAGAATGCCTCTGCCTTGTCTGTGAAACCTGTCTCTCTGTCCCTCTGTCCTCGTGTCGCTGGGACAGGTACAACTCCTCCACAAGTCCATGGGCTCCCGTCATAATTTTATAAGAGAAAATAGAAGTATTTTATGGATCTCCTTTTGTAGGTCTGTAATAAAGAGAACTTTATGGTCACTGCTGTCTAGCTGGAGAATAAAACTTGATTCTCAGAAATCACAGGGAAGTCCCTTGTCTGTCCAGAGGGGTGAGAGGGAGTATCAGCAGCGCAGCAGCTGGTTTCTAACAATGGGTTGGGAGAGCGCAGGTTATGACTTGATCCCTACTAAAAGGTAATGTGCCGAAAAACAAACAAGTGGATTACTTTCACGGGGCTTTCAGTGCTGCTTCTAGGACCCCCTTTGGGTGCTGCTGTATCCAGGACGCTGGAAGAAGGACTCGCCTCCTGTGCGCAGAGGAACAGCAACTCGTTGCGCACAGGGAACCTGAGCTGTGCTCGCTCCCCCCGTGCTTTTCTCACTCCTTTCCTGCCCGAGGAGCCCGAGAGCCTCCCTCTCCCTTGTGTGAATAATTAAATGTGCTCAGGCAGGCGAGCCCTGCCAAAAGGCAGTCTTTTGACTTTAATTGCCCTGACCTTTAGACTAAGGGAGGCAGTTTTGTGCTTGTATCGGGAGCAGCCTTCAGCCCTTTCCATCTCTTCTCCTCCCCATATACACCTGTTTCCAACCAGCCTGGCTTCTAAGTGCTCCCAGCCTCCTTGTGTGCTTGTAGGCAGAGTACAGCACCAGGGCTGATGCCTGCTGTAATGCTTTATTCCAGTTTGCTTATCTAAGCTGCATGAGAACATTATAAGTGCCTAATAACCACGTACAAGCTGCTTTTTTATCTCTTCCCCCCCCCCCCTTCCCAGCTTCTGTTTCCTTCAATCGCTCTTAACTCTGCTTTGGCTCTGCTCCATTTCACCTCTGTGGCGTAGGTTGTTACAAGCAGCGAGGCAATTTTTTTCTGCACCTTCGCAAAAACGATTTATGACCTTTGAAGGAGCAGGGGAGTGGCGATCCAAGTCCCGTGTGTCCTGCTGCAACCGCAGTGCTGCAGGCATCACTGCTCCCACCTGCTTCCATCACCTCTGGGGCCTGGGCAGCAGCACAAGGTGGTGCTGGTCCTCCGAGATGGGTACCTCCCTGTCTGGGCTGGGCTGATCTCACCCCCGGCATGCTGCTAGAGGTGATGTCACTTGGATATAATTGGATAAAGAACTCTCGGTCAGTTATGATCAGTAAAAAATGGCATTTTATTTTATTTGGGAGACCACAGAAGCTATGCTGGTCACGTCCTGCTGATGTTTCAGGCTGGGCAATTTGCCCTGCAGTTTCGGTGTTCCTGCTCCATAAACACTTCTAGTAAAGACCGTCTCCATTTTCCTGCATGAGCAGGAAAAGTAGGGGAACAGCGTCACGTACCTGACAACAGTCAACTTTCATGCTTCACCATCCTACAGAACAGGAAAAAACACAGTGACTTTGCATTGTGTAATTAAGGGGCAGTATAATTTTGCTATTTTATCACTTCCTTCTAAGGAAAAGCAGAGCTGAGGTGCCATTCAGCTATTAAAGGGCCAGCATGCTTCAGGGCACATTATGTGAAAGCCACAACTGTTTCTTTGAGATAAATGCTGAAAAGCCACATACGCTGTGCCCTGTGGAAATCCTTCAGAAACAGCGTAATGGATTGAGAGGAGGAGGAGGGGTTTGGGGGCACCTTGAGATTCCCCGAGCGCTTTGCAGAGTTTTCACCACAGGACAGGAGTCAAAGCGCAAGGATGTTTTCTGTGGCAGGATTTTAATTCGGCTCCCTGTTTGCCGACTGCTGGGGGAGGCTTCAGGGATTCCCCATATTCTGCGTCAATAACGGAGGAGGTGCAAGCGGGAAGCACTACCAGCAGTGTATTTATGTAGCAGTTAAAAGAGGGGTTGCACAGCAATTTTCATGCCACCTGAACATGATGTTGGTCTTTCCCGAGAGAAGAGAGCTGAAGCAATAGGCAATTCCTCAGCAGTAGGTGCTTTTTCCATGTCAGCTATGAAAATGTTTCCTCTCTGCTTGCTCCGGCAAGGATGCAGTTGGTCTTCCCTTTTGGAGTTAAACCCATCAAATGCTCCTCTGATCTGTTAAGCATTTGCTCTCTCCCACCCAAGCCTGCCTGCATTACAGCAGCTTTCTCGGCTCCTAATGTTCCTGGTTGCTATTTTAAGAGGACATGGCGGTCGGTGCCTTCCCAAGGGGAGCAAAGCTCAGCTAAACCCGCTTCTCCCTCCCCAGGTGTGTTCTGAACCCAATGCCGAGATCCCCCCCAAAGGTCAGGCGCGGTGCCTCTGTCCTCACAGTCTTGTCCAAGGCGCCCGATCCCAGGCAAGTGGAGGTTTTCCATTCGTTTCTGTTGGCTTTACGCTTGCATCAAGCCCTAACACAGCTGCTCCTCTCCCCGAGATGTTTGTGCCTGCCCACTAAACTCCATGTTAACCTCCACCTGCTCTGGGCCACGGCAGATGCCTGCAAGGAGGGAGAGCTGCGTTGCCTTCTCTGCTAGGGCTGCTACGCCGAGAGCAGCTTCAAGTGCTGGTAGAGGATGGAAGATTCAGGTTGCCTGGTTTGCAGCACACAGGGGACCGTGTATATGTGGTCCCCTACAGCTTTGAAGGGGACAGTTTTGGCCACGTTTGGCTCCAATGAGGTCTGGCCTCAGCAGCCCGGCCACCCAGCATGGACAGTAAATCCTTTGCTTTATCAATGTGTTGTATGACTCCTCCTGTGCAAAGACCAGCTCCATGTCAACAGGGAAATGGCTGCCACTGACGCTGCCCGAGGCAGGGCCTTTCACCAGCCCGGCCGGGCTCTTTGCCCTAGCAGTTTGTTCATCACTTTGAGCTTTTTTATTTTCCCCCCAATTTTTTTCAACCAAGTAATTATAGGATTCAAATGACTCCTCCTGTGCAAAGACCAGCTCCATGTCAACAGGGAAATGGCTGCCACTGACGCTGCCCGAGGCAGGGCCTTTCACCAGCCCGGCCGGGCTCTTTGCCCTAGCAGTTTGTTCATCACTTTGAGCTTTTTTTATTTTCCCCCCAATTTTTTTCAACCAAGTAATTATAGGATTCAGACAGAATCAGCAATTAAAATCTCCAACTCTGCAAGGCTGTTAGCAGTAATGTTAAGCTCAGCGTTGTTCAAAACTTGCTGTGCTGCATTAAGTGCTTGCTGAGAGTTTCGGCTTCCTGCAAGTTAAAGAGTAACAGCTTGCACAGCTGCAATATCCTAAGCAATAAAAAGATAAGATAAAACTACCATAGGTTTGACTTCCAGACCAAAACCAAACTAGATCACCTGTTACACAGTCTTGTCCTTGTTACCTGCCCCTGCAACCCACCCAGGCTCAAGTCCATCACCACACACGGATGCCTTCCTGATGCTCTTCTCAAGAACACGGGGTGCACTTGCGAGCTTCGTGGTTTCTCTGCCTCTCTGCCTCTGCAGCTTTGTAACTCCAGCAATACTTTCCCTCTTAAAACCTTTCTCAGGCAAAAACCAGAGGCTGCAACTCATGGCGAGAGTGGTAGCCACAGGCTGGGCGCGATGCCGGAGGGGGCTGCTGTGCTGAGCCATGCCCGGTTGCTTTTTTCCTCAACGTGCATTCTACCATCCAGGGAAGGATGGAGGCAGGGGCAGCAGGAGAACCCCCAAATTTCTTACACCCAGAGAAGCCAAATGGGTGGAAACCGGAGACCTCCAGGGAGACCTTGAAAATGTGGCACCCCATGTCCCAGTGGGGAGGGAGTGAGGAGAAACCCTGCGGCTGCCTTCCTGGTGGCAAGAGGTCCCTGCTGGACAGTGAGATGGGAAGACCCGTCCTGTGAGGAGAGGTCAGAGGGGGACGCTGGAGCTGCTTGTGCCCTGTGGGCGGACAAGAGCTGGCAGCTGCGGGCAACAGGGCAGCACCCAACCTCCTGCCTGCCCGCATCAACTTCCTAGGCCCTCATAATCCAAATAGTTGCAATAAAAATGCACTAAAATTGACTGGGTTTTCTTCATGGCCTGCAGCTTCTGTGAAGTAATGTCCCTGCACATATACATATATGTGTGTGTGTGTGTTTATCCACTCACATACTCTTGTTCTCTGTTGTGGAAAGTGCCAGCGGCTTCCGGGGCTCACAGATGTCCCCAGCAGCTGAAGCTGCTGACAGAAGAGGACAGGAGCCAGACTGCTTGCTCTCTCACTCACAGGAAGGCTGAGCTCCCAGTACCCTTCTTGGCACACGCTACTCATCCCTCTGCTGCTGAAGGCACCCCGGCTCCATCCCTCCTGTGAGCGGAGGGGTGGTTGAGTAATACTGAAAACCAGGAAATTTTTGCAGTGAGTCTCCTCAGAAACATCCACTTCAAGTTGTCCAGAGGGTACAAAATGCACCAGAGATTTCAGTGGTTTCCGGAGACGATGGTGACCTCCGGCCACCCGCACGGCTGCAACTCCTCCATGCCGGTCCCACACAGCTGGCAGCAAGAGAGTGTTTGTCCCGGCCGGCTCTGCACGTGTAGCTTCACGGCCTCGAGGCGGAGAGGAGCTGCATCCCCCGAGCTTGCTTTCTTGCTCCATCATGAGGCAGTAACACTTCCCCATGGGGCCCATTGCCACAGGCGCAGGGACTGTGCAGCTCCTTTCCTCACAGGTGGCTTTAACCACAGGGCCGTTCCACATTGCAGCCAGCAGGTAACGAACACCCTGGGTCTGGCTAGCGCAGCAGCTGTGATGGAGACGGAGCGCCGTACTGCGTGCAAGCTCCGGCACGCCCGCCGGTATTTATATAACATTGTTTTGCTTTAATCTGGCTTTTTAAGTAAATTGTCAAAGCTCTTTCTGATCACTAAGAACCTTTTTCTTTTTTTTTTTTTGACTGCAAGTTTCATTTTTCAAAGCTCGGCTAGTTTTGAGTGATGCCGAAAAAGCCCATTTGCAGTGGCTTTTTGTTCCATGCCTGTATTGTTCAGGCAAAAGTGGTTGTTTTCTTTTCATCCTGGCATAGCTCAGGAGTGACTGCATGGTCTGAGCTCAAACTTTCTAAAAATACTCACCCGTGAGGAGAGATCCAGCATGGCAGTGTTCAGACCCAGAGATTAACGCCTTGGAAAGGCGTGGTGGTCTGAAAAGAAGCCGGTGGCAGCA